GAGAAACATTTATCATGCAAACGGATGTCAGAAGAATGCAGTAGTAGCAATACTTACGTTGGACAAAAGATTTTAAAACAAAAACTATAACAAGAGACAAAGAAGAGCACTATGGAATAATAAAAGAGAGAATCCAACAAGAAGATATAACAATTTTAAGTATTTATGTACCTACTATGGGCACACCCAAATACATAAAACAGTTAATAACAAACATAAAGGAAGTAATAATAATACAATAATAGTAGAGAACTTTAACACCCCACTTACATCAATGGAAGGATCATCTAAACAGAAAATCAACAAGAAAACAATGGCTTTGAGTGACACAATGGACCAGATGGATTTAACAGATATATTCAGAAAATTCCACCCTATAACAGAAGAATACACATTCTATTCAAGTGCACAGGGAATATTCTCCAGAACTGATCACATATTAGACCACAAAACAAGCCTCAACAAATTAAAAAAGATCAAAGTTATACCATGCATCTTTTCGACCACACTATTATAAAACTAGACGTCAACCATAAGAAAAAACCTGGAAAGACTATAAATACACGAAAGTTAAATAACATGATACTAAACAATGAATAGATCAATCAGGAAATCAAAGAAGAAATTTAAAAATACATGGAAACAAATGAAAATGAAAACATAATGGTACAAAACCTTTGGGACGCAGCAAAAGCATTTCTAAGACTAAGTTTACAGCAATACAGGCCTACCTCAAGAAGAAAAATCTCAAACAACCTAACGTTACACCTAAAGGAACTAGGAAAAGAACAAACAAAACCTAAAATCAGAAGAAGGAAGGATATAATAAGGACTAGAGCAGAAATAAATGATATGGAAACTAAAAAAAACAATAGATCAATGAAACCAGGAGCTGGTTCTTCAAAAAAACAAAAAGAACAAAAACAAAAAAACAATAAAACTGATAAACCACCAGCCAGACTTATCAAGAAAAAAAGAGAAAAGACCCAAATAAAATCACAAATGAGAGAGAATAATAAACCCCACAAAAATACAATTATAAGAGAATATTAAGAAAAATTATATGCTAACCAATTGGACAACTTAGAAGAAGTGGATAAATTTCTAGAAACATATAACCGACCAAAACTGAAGCAGGAAAAAATAGAAAATTAGAAATAGAAAATTTGAACAATTACCAGTAACAAAATTGAATCAATAATTAAAAAACTCCCAACAAACAAAAGTCCAAGACCAGAGGGTTTCACAGGCAAATTCTGCCAAACACTGAAAGAAGAATTAATATCTTTTCTTCTCAAACTATTCCAAAAAAGAGAAAAGGAAGGAACACTTCCAAATTCACCCTATAATGCCAGCATTACCCTGATACCAAAATTAGATAAAGACACCACAAAAAAAAGAGAACTACAAGCCAAGATCTCTGATGAACATAAATGCAAATATCCTCAACAAAATACTAGCAAACCAAATCCAACAATACATTAATAAAATCACTCACCACGACCAAGTGGGATTTATTCCTGGGTTGCAAGAGTGGTTCAAAATTCACTATCAGTCAACATGACATGTCACATCAATAAGAAAGGATAAGAACCATATGATCATTTCAACAGCCACTGAAAAAGCATTTGACAAAGTACAACATCCATTCATGATAAAATTCCTCAACAAAGTAGGTTTGGAAGGAACATACCACGACATAATAAAGGCCATATATGAAAAGACACAGCTAATATCATCTTCAGTGGGGACAAACTGAGAGCCTTTCCCCTAAGATCAGGAACAAAACAAGGATGTTCACTGTCACCACCTTTATTCAACATAGTATTGGAAGACCTAGCCACAGCAATCAGACAACAAAAATTAAATCAGCAAGGAAGAAGTCAAACTTTCACTGTTTGCAGATGACACGATACTATATAAAGAAAACCCAAAAGACTCCAACAAAAAAACTGGGAGAACTGATTAACAAATTCATTAAAGCCACAGGATACAAAATCAATCTACAGAAATCTGTTGTATTTCTACACACCAATAATGAAGCAGCAGAAAGAGAAATTAAGAAAATAATCCCATTTACAAATGCACCAAAATTAATAAGATACCTAGAAATAAACCTAGCCAAAGAGGTGAATGACTTGTATTCTGAAAACCATAAAACAATGATGAAAGAAATTAAGGATGATATAAAGAAATGGAAGGACATTCCATATTACGAATTAGAAGAAAAAACATTGTTAAAATGTCTATACTACCCAATCTACACATTTAATGCAATCCCTATCAAAATACCATCAGCATTTTTCACAGAGCTAAAACAATTAATCTTAAAATTTATATGGAACCACAAAAGACCCCGAATAGCCAAAGTAATATTGAAAAAGGAAAGCAAAGCTGGATGCATCTGAATTCCAGACTTCATGTTATATTACAAAGGTGTAGTAATCAAAACGGTATGGTACTGGCACAAAAACAGATGCATAGATAAATAGAACAGAATAGAAAATCCAGAAAGAAATCCACAATTATATGGTCAGTTAATCTTTTGACAAAGCAGGAAAGAATATCCAATGGGAAAAAGTCTCTTCAACAAATAGTTACGGGAAAACAACCACTTTCTTACACCCTTTCTTATACAAAAATAAATTCAAAATGGATTAAAGACCTAAATGTGAGACCTGAAATCATAAAAATCCTAGGAAAGAGCACATGACATTGGCCATAACAACTTTTTTCTAGATAGGTCCCCTAAGGCAAGGAAAACAAAAGCAAAACTAAACTATTGGGACTCCATCAAAATAAAAAGCTTCTGCACAGCAAAGGAAACCATCAACACAACTAAAAGGCAACCTACAGAATGGGAGAAGATATCTGCAAATGGCATATCCAATAAAGGGTTAGTATCTAAAATACATAAAGAACTTATAAAACCACCCCGAACCAAATAATCCAATTAAAAAAAATGAACAGACATTTCTCCAGAGAAAACATACAGATGGCCAACACACACATGAAAAGATGCTCAATATCATTCATCATCAGGGAAATGCAAATCAAAACTATAATGAAATAGCACATTACACCTGTCAAAATAGCTAAAATCAAAAACACAAGAAACAAGTGTTGATGAGGTTGTGGAAAAAAAGGAACCTTCTTGGCACTGTTGGTGGGAATGCAAACTGGTGCAGCCACTGTGGAAAACAGTATGGAAGTTCCTCAAGAAGTTAAAAATAGAACTACCCTATGATACAGCAATTGCACTACTGGATATTTACCCAAAGAATACAAAATCACCAATGCAAAGGATACAGGCACCTCTATGTTTACAGCAGCTTTATTCACAATAGCCAAGGTATGGCAGCAGCCCAAGTGTCCATCAATTGATGAATGGATAAAGAAGATGTGGTACACACACACACACATATACATATATATAATGAAATATTATTCAGCCATAAAAAAGAATGAAATTTTGCCATTTGCAATGGCATGGATGGAGCTAGAGAGTATAATCCTAAGTGAAATAAGTCAGTCAGAGTAAGACAAATGCCTTATGATTTCACTCATATGTAGAATTTAAGAAACAAACAAACAAGCAAAAGGAAAAAAAAGACAGAGAGAGAAACCAAGAAACAGACTCAAATATAGAGAACAAACTGGTTACCAGAGGGTAGGTGGGTAGGGAGATGAGTGAAATAGGTGATGGGGATTAAGGAGGGCACTTGTCATGTTGAACACCAGGTGATTAAAATAAAAACTTAAAAAAAATGTATACATTTTGTCCTATCCTTCAAAGAACTATGTGAAACAGGTACTCAACATGTTTTTTTCAAAGAATTGTATGGAAATATAAAAACTAGACTTTTAAGTTCTCATATTGAAAAGATCACTGGCAGTATCTTATGTGAAAACTTACCATTTCACTTACTCATGAAACAATAAATTTGTGGAATGAAGTTGAATAATTAAAGGTATCAATCTAAAACATTGATATTTCCTATTTCTACATTATCTAGTCCTTTAAACCCTCTCCTCAGTTCCAACACTCCCACTATGATTGCCAAATCTTTTTCTGCAATTACTTTATTACATTTCTTTCTTTACAATTCTATTATACCATCACTACTTCATCACCACCATCACGACAACAGCAGCAGCTACTTTTTGAGTGCTATGTGCCAGGCGCTGCTGAGAGCTTTACATGAACTAAATCATTTAATCCTCATAACATCTTCTGAGAAAAGAAATATTATCCCTAACTATATATATGAGACAATGAAGCACAGAGAGGCTAAGTGGTAGCATTGGTATTTGAACCCAAACAGTGTTAACCTTCTTTTAGAGTTGCCTCTCAGAAATCACCTCACACCTCCAAAGTTCTGCTTCCAGGTTACAGGATATCAGATACCACTTCTCTCCTTTTGGAAATTCACTCAACATGATGAAACTAGATGATCACTGTCATTAGGACATTACCCTGTTCAATAATCTACTTTACCTAAAAATTAGTTATAAAAATCAGATCAAATGTGTACAATCCAGGTATTCAAGATTCTTCTCAATCTATACACCCATTCTCCCTTTCTTACCTCATTCCCCATACAGCTCATCACAGGAACACTAAGCAAGAGGTATTTGGAGCTATATTCTTATCCTCTCACAGGGCCTAATACAATGCCTGGAACATAACAGGCGCCAAAAATGTTTGCTAGATTAATGACTAAAAGGCTTTATGATTTTTCAGATACCTAGCTGTAAGTTACTGTAATGTTAGGGTTCATAGTGTTCACAAAGACATTTTGTTATTCCTTCCTAATAAGACAGTGCTAATAGTTTAAAAATTCAAAAATTCACCCATGACAAAATAAGGAAATTCGGAACACTTAAATCATAGGTTTTTCCTCTCTTCTTTAGCAAGAGGAGCAAGTGGTGGTTATATCCAACAGTGTGATTAAAGAAATGAAAGTATTCTTAATATTACCAAGAATTTTATTACTAACCTGTTGAGGGGTTACAGTATCTCTATAGCTTGGTAAAATTTTTAGGGTGACACTTCCACTAATATTTTTCAGTAATTCTTGTAATTCCTTTGGATTGTTTCCAACCTCATGACCATTGACTTCTTTAATGATATCTCCCACATGAAGCAGACCTTGTCGATCTATCATTCCTCCATGAAGGATTCGGGCAATTACCAGATCATTATTTTCGACCCTAAATGTTACACCCTAAAGAAAATAAAAAAACAGAATTATCACTGATTTTAGATTAGGAAGAAATCTTAAATATTCATTAATATGTATATACAAGAAAATAATTCTAAAAGTAGGTGAGTTAATTGTTCCTACTTTTCCTCTGCTCTCTGTCTCAATATTTTAATCTCATTATACCACAGGCAACTGTGATGACATATACCACCCCATAAAAACAGGACTTCCATGGGAATTGCATTCCACAGGATAAAAAGTTCAAAGGAGAAGAAAAAGTATTTATGCATTCTGATGGCCTTGTTCCAAGCTTTTCTTTTTTTCTTACAGTCAGGACCCAGAAATAATAATTTTAGCAGGGAACAGAAAACTTCACTACTTATAGAGTCCCACCATGCTTCAATTCTTAATAACTTTCTTTTGTGTTTTGATACTATCGTTAGCAAGCAACTTGAGCTCATTTCTTCAAAGGGTATAGGAAGAAATGGGGTAGTTATCTTCTGTAATTTTTGCTGCCCATTACCAAACTTCTTCTGGCCTCTATTTCAGCTTAACATTTTATTTTGGCTTAATTTTGTATGCTATATTAAGTTAAGAGAGCATCAGTTGTGTATTTATATACAAGCCAAAAAAACACTGATAAAACAAATAAACATGAATTGCAGTTTTTATAATAATACAAATTATGAAAAAGAAAAAAAGACATGATTGAGCCACAAATATGTCAGATTTCAGATTTTAAAAAGCACTGATTTATCTACTCACCAATGGCTCCCCAGCTCTTTTGTGAATACCAAGAATACGAATGGCATCTACTGGTAATAACTGATTATTGATAGAAGAATTATTCATTTCTGGGCTTGATGGAGGTGAATCATAACATTTTGATGCCACGATATCATGGGCCTCCAACAGTGACTATAAGGATTCAAAATAGCCTGCGGTTATTAATTACTGATGGAATAAGTTATTAAAAATAACAGTTCATTATCCCAGTGGAGTACTAAAACCTTCCCAGTCACACCTTATTAAATTCTAAATGCAACAGAATTTTTTAAAGAAATATAAATATATATATAGTACATTAACATAAACAATATTGTATTCCTTGTTTTAAAAGATTTGAAGAGACTGATAGAGTTTTATGACTTTTTTTTTAAAAAGTGACATGGTCAGTGGAAACTGAACCTAGATTTCCAAGTGTGGTACACTTAAGGCACTGGAATTCACTGCTGCCACTGTCATCAACATTATCATCATTCCATATTTATCATCAATCCCTATTTATTGGGTATCAGACAAATTCAAATGGTACAGGGGCACCTGGGTGACTCAGTTGGTTAAGCGCCTGCCTTCTGCACAGGTCATGCTTTCAGGGTCCTGGGATCAAGCCCCGCTCAGGGGGGAGCCTGCTTCTCCCTCTCCCTCTACCTGCCGTTCCCCCTGCTTGTGCTCTCTCTCTCCCTCTCTCTTCCAAATAAATCTTAAAAAAAAAAAAATTCAAATGGTACAGACCCTAATTTTTACTCTAAGACTGTTATGTTAGTAATACTATATATTTCTTACCCATATAAAATGTCTGCTAAAAAGACATCCAATAGAAAATGGATATTTACAGCATCTAATAACAGTGATGAGCTTTTATATTATTTATAAAGACTTTAGTTTATAAAACATGTATTTTAAGGGAGGGAAAAAAAACACCTAATGAGACAGTAAAGGTCATGAATATAATTTTACCTCCTACATTTACTATGTATGTGCTATCATCATGGATGATTTTGATCTAGTTTTCTAGGAACTTCTTACAATATTTTTATATATTTTAGTTTTTCATTTACATTATAATTGTGTATACTCAACAATAAAGCTGAGTTAAAAAATTTTTTTTGAGTGGATGGAGCTCAAAAACAAATCAAAATAGAAAGAACAGAGAAAAACGTCAACAAATTAGAACAGAAGCAATCAGGATATGAATTAAATTGGTAATTTCTGGTCATTTCAGGAAAATATGTTGTAAGAGACTAAAGAAAATTTCAAAAAGAAAAAAAATCACAAGTCCACATGTAAGGATTATTTCTATAATGCTAGAAGTTGCTTAAATCTCTAACCTGGGCTGCTTAGTTTTCACCCTATGCCTTCTTAGCCAGCATTATCTACTCCTGTGACTTGAACCACTACTTAAACACTGATAACTTCCAGAATTCTCATGAGCTTCAGATTCACAGACTAAAAATTTGTCCACAACTAGCCAGTCATGATAATTTGAAAATCAAAGAGTAAAGATGGTAGAGGATTGAAACATACTGAATAATGAAAAATCTGTAACTGCACAATGCTATTTAAAAAACAGAAGGACTGAAAACTTCATCTGTTGCCATTCAAGACTGCTATTTTAAATAATTCTTTATAAACTGGTAAAGAGAAGGATCAGGCATTTCCCTGATTTTTCAGTATGAAATGCATTATGGGTTAACTAAATAGTTCAGTTGACAAGGAAAAGCTCTACTTTATATAAGAACAGCAGCTACACAATGTTGAATGAGAGAATCTGAAAAATGTCATTTTGAAGCCTCTAATGAAAATACTGATTCAGGTAAGGATTAATTTGTGTTCATAAGTAAATAAATGGTTGAACAGGAAATAGTGTTCCTAGAATAATAACACACTAGATTATGTCCTAGTGAAAAGTATTTCAAAGGAAGGATTAGACTGTTTATGCCTTTAATCAAGGGACCAATCTCAGCAACAGTACTGGTGGGCTAACGAGGTGTCACACATCTTCTGATGTAGTTTAATTCATGTTGCATTACATCACTAATGATGCATTCTAGTTCCAAATAATTAACTTGAATCATCAACCTTTTAGATAGAACTTCTGTTTACAAGAAAGAGAAGGGATAACTAAACAACACAGCGAAGAGACAACCAGATTCATCCAGGGAGTGGGACATTCTTCAGGGCAATGGTCTGGTCTCTTAATAGGTCAACATCATAATCAAGGGAGAAAGGATGGTCCATCCAAATGCCACACACGAATCTAGGTTGGAAATCCATAAGTATAAACCAGCTGTAAAGAATATTTTGGTGTCAAATGGAGATGTTTGAATATAATATGTGTATTACATGAAATGGAGATCCACTGAAATGGAAAAGTGGAAATCAATGACTGAAAAAAAAGGGTAAGTTACAAAATAGCTTGTACAAAAGGACCTCAACCAGTAAAGAGAAAAATATGTACATTTTGCACAGAAAAAGTATGGAGAAATATGTACTAGGATAGTACAGTAAGATCTGGGTAGTAAGAATGCAATGTCTTAATTTTTAAATTTTTGCTTGCCAGTATTTTCTATTTATTAAACTTTATATAAATTTATATACTTATTAAATTTCATATTTATTAAAGATATATAGCATGCCTGAAAGCTCTACCAGATGCTCCTAAGGTATCACAAACTTAACATGGCTGGTTACCTTAACATTAACATGTCAGCTTCTTCTAGAGTGTTCCTTATCTTAGTGAGTGCCATCAATTACTTGTTAGAAATCCTATCCTTATCAACTTCCCACATCTCTCTTCTGCAACTATCACATGTAACCAATCACCAAGTCTTGTTGATTTTACTGCTTAAAACTTGAAAATCCTATTTTCTGCTCTCGACACTGCCGTCATAGTTTCTTGCCTTAGTGCTTAACCATCTTGCTCCACAATCTGCCCTCTCCTTGTGTACTACTTCCCACTCTCTCCTCTCATGGTTTCCCACTGTCCTCAAGATAAAGTCCAAATGGCTTACTGTGCCTTGTAAGGCCTTCATCAACTGGCACAAGCATGTATGTTTCTGATATGTGTCCATTTTTTTGTACTTTAAGATACTGATTCACGGAGCAACTAACTCACTATAAACCTTTGTATTTTGCAGCCACATTGTTGAAGAGTCACAGAAACTCCTTGAGAAAAACCAAACAGGTGTTGCCATTTGATTTTCAATGCTAAGATTTATAGTGAAAAACATTTTGTCCTTCTAGCCCAGCACCACTTATGGAACAGTCCATTTTTTCTCCCCTAAAATGTAGTATCTCTATCATAAATCAAATTGCCAAATACATGTGTATGTATTTCTGGGGTTTTTTATTCTCTTCCATTGGTCTATTTTTCTAATACTGTCCCAATGCCACACTAAATTACAGGTTGATAAGAAATCTCTCCCCCCTCCCCTCCATTTTCTCTTCTAAAACTGACTTTTTTGTTAAACAGATTTAGTTTTCACTGCTACAGACCAAAGCTTAAAATGCACTTATTTTTTTGCACCTATGGAGGAAATGTTATGGATTAGTTTCTATCCTTACACAGTTCTCTTTTGTTCCAAGGTCACTGATTGCATCTCAGTCTCAGAAGCAATACTGAAATAGCTTTAATAGGGAGGGCTGTGAAACAGTGGTAATGAGGAAGTAAAATCTATTATCACAGTAAGAAAAATGTCTCTGGCATGTGGTCTAGTGGTGAATCAAGGCTGGTTTTAATTACACAATGGAAAACCCATTCTGATGTATTTTTGCTATACATTTATGTAGTGTGTATTAGTTGTGTGTGTCTGTTTTGATATCCTCGGTATTTCAGGACATTAAAATACCTAAGTTGGAATTTACATATTTACAAAATATGGCTCTAAATAACCTTAAATAAATCGCCTTAAACTGAAACTACGAAAAGAGAATACTTTGGGAATACAGGGGACTTAGGAAGAAAACTAATAGGTAAAATTTACCTGGAAATGAGGCTCTTTGAGTATGCCAACCAGTTCTGCCACATTTTCATCCACATTTATTAAGGGAGTGATATCTTCAAGAATTTCATTGACTAATTCTAAGTTATTATCACTGACAGCTTCTAGTTTTGAATCTTCTAGCCTCTCATGAGCCTGAAAAGATAACAGTATAATTAGTCATAATACATATTGTTTTGCTCCAGACCATGTTTTTTTTTTTTTTTAAGATTTTATTTATTTATTTGAGAGAGAGAGAGAATGAGAGATTGAAAGCATGAGAGATTGACAGCATGAGAGGGAAGAGGGTCAGAAGGAGATGCAGACTCCCCGCTGAGCAGGGAGCCCGATGCGGGACTCGATCCCGGGACTCCAGGATCATGACATGAGCCAAAGGCAATTGCTTAACCAACTGAGCCACCCAGGCGCCCCTGGTTGTCTTCTTTTCCATAAAGAACACTTAAAAAGATACTACTTGAAAGTTTGATTCATTGAAACCAAATTTAATATTCCAATCAGAGGCAATATATAGATTTTTATAGTAAATGTTATCAAGCAATATAATAAATCTTGGCTTCTATTCCTATTCTAAAAGTCATGGAAAACTTGTTTTAATAACTAAACCATGAAAAAACTAAATAGGTCAGATGACAACTGAAAAAACACATTTCCTACCCAATAGAATTTCCTAATGACTTTCTGGTCTAGGCTCAAACTTTAGATGATACTGCTTATGCTTCATGAAAATAAATGATTACACATAATGAAAATTAAAAAATAGGAATGTAATCATTATATGGACTGCCATTAAAAAATAATAAAAATCATTCGGGGAGCACCAAATCCTAAAGCTACCATTTTTCCAATTTTGAAAATCAGCAAGATAAGTCAATTCAGGGAAGTCAGCTCTTGAACTGGACCTTGAAGGACTGTTTGATTTCACTAGGGGAGTGATCCCCTCGTGTCTCTTTATCTTAAGCCACTTTTTTTTTTTCTAAATCTCACCATCTTTTCCATGGAAAGTGGACCATGAATCACACTGTCACAGGAAACAAGTAGCCCTAATTTAGCCTTTAACAGTGGGAGTAAAACAGAGTTTTAAATTCAAACTGAAAATGAACACTAAGCAGTCTCCCTCTTTTAAGTGCTCTTTTTCTGATGAATGGTTGCTGTCTGATTTTGAAGGCAGGCAAAGCATAACTGTTAAGACTTAATGTATAAATGAAAGCATGTAAGAAGATAAATCTTGTATTTAATATATTAAGATCCATTTCTGTAAGTGCTCAGGAAAAACCCAAGTTTCAAGTAGTAATAGTATCAATTAAACTTTATCTGTACCTATAATTCTTTAGCTGTTATGTCTACCATAGAGTGGATCCTTCAAAGACAAACAGTCTGATTTTTAAAATGTGATTTTTTTCATTCAAATGTATTTTTTCTAGGTGACTCACAAGAATGAAGTAAGTGTTTAAGTGGAAGAGGGGGCTATATATTAAGCAACATTTTTAAGAAACACCTCAGAAGAAAAAATTTTAAGTCATATGAAATGACGGAAGAAATTATAACTGTTATTAAACAAAGAAAAATGTCAAAAGACTAATTAAATGTATTTAGAGGAAGGAGTTTCTATTACATTTAGATAAGAAAAAAATTAGATAAGAAAAAAATTAAGATTAGAGAATGCCACAAAGAATGAAATGGGTAGGGAGACAAACCATAAGAGACTATGGACTCTGAAAAACAAACTGAGGGTTCTAGAGGGGAGGGCGGTGGGAGGATGGGTTAGCCTGGTGATGGGTATTAAAGAGGGCACGTACTGCATGGAGCACTGGGTGTTATACACAAAGAATGAATCATGGAACACTACATTAAAAACTAATGATGTAATGTATGGTGATTAACATAAAAAAAAAAAAAGAAACTACACTATCTTTCTACATTTAGCCAAGATTGTGTTTATATACCATTCTCTGCAAAGAGGGAAGCAGACATCATTTGTGGAAACCTTTGTTCAAAAAACAGGAAAAAGAGTGGTGTTAAAGGTACTAAAATAGAAAAGTTTTTCCTTTCTTCGGTCTCTCTTTTGACTTGTGATGTTTTTTATTTGCTATTTAATGTTCTTCTAAGTAAAAACGTTTTCTTCGTTATTAAAAAAAAAAGAATGAAATGGGTAAATCTGCAACTTCATGAAAGTTTAATATAAGCCTAATAAGGATAAGATGATAAGGACACTCAACTTATATCATAAAATGATTATCACCATTGGAAAAAATCTAAAATAATGGACAAAACTAGCTATTAACTCTTAAAAACAAGCTAGAATTGCTTATTGCTTTAATACAAATATTTGCTATTAACAAATACTTAATTTATCACTGTTAAGCTTGCAATACTCTATTACTCTTATGGTAGTATAAGAAAGTTTAAGGAAAGAAAAGAAGTAAAGAAACAACATTTATTGAGGGCTTTTTGTCTATGTGTCTGGAACTATATTCTCACTGCAGTGCAAGTGAGTGTGTGTATGTATTAAGCAAAGGTAGGTGTATTGTTATCCTCACCTTACAGACATAGATGCTGATGCAAAATAAGACAGAGTGATTTGCTTGAATCCACACTACTGATAAGTGGCAGTCAGGTAGTCTAATACCAAGGCTTGAATGCTTACCTACTAAAGCTTATTTGACTTCATCATTATACAGACAGCCATTGAAATATCATACTGTGGTTAATTATTCCATCTATTATATGATGCATTATTCTAACTCATTTAACTGTGAGATATGATCTCATTGACTGCTAGTTGATTTGTTGCTTGTTAGCATGCTCTTCTAGTCCAGATGTGTTATTAATTCTGTTCTACTGCATCTATCCCCACAGTTATTTTTATACTCCTGTGGTTCAGAATACCACCCATCCCTTCAACCTGTACCCCCTCTGCTCCAAGTAAGAGCTATAAACACCACCTGTTTCTCCAGGAAAAAGATAATGACTGCCTTACAATTTTCAGGTACTAGGTCAATATATTTTCTATAATATCCTATGGTCATGTAATATATCAATTCAATTCAAGACACTGGGACAAGCAAAGAGAAAGAAATGATCACTGACTTGAGAACTCTAATATAGCTCCCTTTGTTTCTATGTTCATCTACCTTATTGCTCCCAAACTGGGTGAGGACACATGGGGATGTGGAAAGACCCAACAGAAAGAGGAAGTCAAGTAGGAGGGCAAAATTATATTATAAAAACAAACATACCCAAAGGTTTTTTCACATCAACTACACAGACTGGTGCTATAGTAGGAAAGAATCTCACTACACAATAAATTCTCAGGAAAAAAAAAAAAGAGGCTTTTTAGTGAAACTGCAGCTATAATTATATTAACAAAGAAAGCCAATTTCTAAAATATAGTTGGGTTCTATTAAGATCAACTTTACTTTTTCCAAGAAAGCAAAAGCAGGTCCATATTTGTTAGTATGTAGATTTTTAAGCTCTAAGATACTGTGAAAGAAGTTGGGACCTCTATTCATTTTAAAGTCGGAATTTATTTAGTAGCTTTTAAGAGGCAAGTGCCAACTTGAATTTAACTGATAAGACCAAAAAAAAAAAGGCCAAAGGAAATACTGAAAATTGACCAGAAGGACAGATGAATCGTAAGCTCTTTGAATAAATGGGTCTTATTTCCTTTAAGAAAAGATACTATTAGAAAGCTAGCATAACTTAATAAAAACATATTCTACCTGCCACAAGTGGTTGAAAGAACATGCCATGACTGGCTTCGTAGAACACTTGGAGCTGATACAAATATGGCCTAGCCTTCTTGTATGTCCACTTCTGAGAATCCTATTTACCACTGCACCTTAGAAAAATGGTTCTAGATTCTAAGATGTCTAGATTCTAAGACATCTATGTCTTAGAACTGCAGAGAAGAAAAAGTTCTTTCAGGACTTCTAGGTATTTCTTCTAGGCATAGTCCAACCATGCTTGCAAGCAAAAAAAAAAAAAAACAAAACAAAAAGTTTAACAAGTTGTGGGCTATAACTAAAGTGAGAAATACTATTATTTATTTTATTTTATCTAATACTGTTATCGTTATGTGTAATAACCCTGCCTTTCCTCCTTAAAAGGACCAAAATATCATAAATTTTGTTTCTATCTTTGAATGTGGCTAAGTATGTGGTAGTTGCTCATTAAATGTTTCTTGAAAAAGCTAAGTAAATGGGAAATAAGTTTTGCTGTGGACAGAGTCATCCCCTTCTATTCTAGAGACTTTAGGAAGAGAAAGATCAAGAGAAGCCCACAGTCAAAAATAAATAAGAATTTGAGCAGAAAATAGAAATGAGCCAGTAATAGAAAAGTCGATTTCTATTTTGCTTCTGCATACATTATATCAAAGAAAATGGGCTTTGTTCTGAACAAAAAAATGGATGAAATAAGTATAAATAAATTAGAATTGAATTCTCTAATGAATAAAGAACTTGTCAGAAATCTGGTTAACAAAAGGAGTTCAAATTCTTAGATGAGATAAATTATACATCGAAGTACTCAGGGAGCTTCTAAATAACACTGCCAATCCACTCTTAGTTATCTGTAGAAAAAGAGAACCACGCAGATGCCAAAAAAACTAGAAATGGGAATCTGTTATACTTTTTAAAATGAGAAAGACCTTTTTTCTTTTTTTTAAACCGGCTTTAACAATATTCCGAGAAAATATAAAAGAATACTTTTTATAATCTCTGAGTGGGAAAGACCTTTCTAACTTATGGTGCAAAATCTGGAAGCTATAAATTAAACAAAAAAGGCCCAATAAAATTAACTACATTTAAAATATTAAATTTCTTCTTGTCAAAAATCAGCAAAGTCAAAATACAAATGACAAACTAGGGTTAAAATAGTTACAAATCATATTGAAAGACAAAAGGCTAATTTTTTTATACATAAAGGACTTCTTTTACTTATTAGAGCAGGAGAAAGAGCGAGAGAGAGAGTGCAAGCACTAGCAGGGGGAAAGAACAGGGACAAGCACACTCCCTGGTGAGTGGGGAGCCTGACGTGGGGCTCGACCCCAGGATCCTGAGATCATGACCTAAGGCAAAGTCAGATGCTTATCTGACTGAGCCACTGAAGCACCCCTACATAAAGTATTTCTATAAACC